CATGGAGGTGAAAAGATCTGGGTTTTCACGATTTTTTCTTTTTCTTTTTTTCTTTTCTTTTCCCCCGTTTTCTCTATTGTTATTGTTTTTTTCTTTTCTTTATTTTTTCATTTCATTTCTTCGGTTTCTTCATATCTTTCTCGATTCTCATAATGCTTCTTTTCTTTTCTTTTTCTTCATTTTTCTTTGGTTTTTTTCTGACTTTCTTGTTTTTATTGGTTCTCTTCAAATATCAGATTAATATTTTCAAATACATGGTCAACATTTTTTATCTACACATTCAACATTTGTTTGAAATTCTTGATTAAGATTTTCAAATACAAGTTTATGATTTTTCTAATATATGGTCAACATTTTTTCAATACACATTTGACATTTTTGAAATGCTTGAACGACATTTTTTAAATGCTTGTTCAACATTTTTCTCAAATGATGTATTAATATTTCTATATACATGATTACTTTTTTCACCATTATTTAATACATGCTCATTATTTTTTCTATACATATTTAATATTTTCAAATGCTTGATTTACATTTTCCAATTCCTTGTTCAACATTTTTCTCAACTAGTTGATTAAATTTTGTATATACATGATAAAAAAATCATCATTTTCATTGTCAACATTTTCTCTATACAGTTTTTTTTTAAAATTTTCTAAATGCTTGATTAACATTTTTCAAATACTTGTTCAACAATTTTTCAATTGCTTGCTTAACATTTTTATATACATGGTAAACAAATTTCTTCATTTTTTAATACATGGTCAACTTTTTTCTATACACATTTAATATTTTCGAAATGCTTAATTAACATTTTTCAAGTACTTCTTCAACATTTTCTGGACAATCTTGATTGACATTATTGAAATCCATGATCAAACAATTTAATCATTTTTCTATTACATGATCAACATTTTTCTATACACATTTTACATTCTAAAATGCTTGATTAAAATTTTTAAGTACTTTTACTGATGATTTGAATATCTTGATTAACTTTTTTTTAATACATGATCAATTATTTCTATACATTATTTGTATACGTGATAAACATTTTCTTAATATACATTTAAAAAATTTAAATGCCTAGTCAATACTTTTCAATAGGTTTTAACGGATTTTTTGTAATTTATATTTATAATTTTTTAAAGTATAAACAATATTAAAGAATAAGGAAAAAAACAAAAACAGAAAACAGAAAAAAGGAGGCTGTAGGATCCCGCGCGACTGGGCCGGCTCATATAGAGCTCCCCGACGCGAGGATTGCCTCTGTCTCGCGTATAGCGAGACTTAGGGGTTCCCGATCCTATTGGGCGCATAAGGCACCCGATAGCGACCTAGCTCGTACCACCTCCAGCGCCAAACCCTCTGTTTGGGACGGATATTTCGGGTTTCTTCCACACTGGTTGGGAGCTTACAGAACCTCCTCGGTATTTTCGTTTATCCTTTTTCTGGTTTATTTTTTTAATTTTCAATTATTTACATTTAATTTTTCATTTTTTTCATTTTTATATTTTTTCTTTCCTTTTTCTTTCTCCTTTTCATTTATGTGAACATCTTTCAAATCCTTGAATACATATTTTTTAAATTTAGCATTTGTTAACATTTTTTGAAATCATAAATCTTTTTGAAGGTTGTCAACATTTTATTGAATTCGTGAACAGGTTTTCAAATAATGAAAAAAATGAAACTTGTGCACATTTTTTGAGTTGGCGAACAAATGTTTAAATTCGGGAACAATTTTTGAAATTCACAAACATATTTTTGTTTTTGACGAGATGTTTTTCTAAAGCATGAATTTTTCGATTTCATGTACATTTATTAACCTCAAAACATTTTCTGAATGGATGCAGATTTTCTTGAAACTTGGGAGCCGTTTTAGTAATTCACGAACATTTTTTATTTTTTTCAATTTTTTTATAAGAAATCATCTAAATTTTTGGAATTCTTGTTTAGAAAATATCATGATTTGCTTTTGAGTATGTGAACTTCTTTAAAATTATGAACTTTGTTTATTTACCGAACATTTATTTCAAAACTGTGAACAATTTTTTTGAAAATGCGAATATATTTTCAAAATGAGGAACATTTTTTGAATTTGTGATATTTTTCGAATTCAAGAACATTTTTTTAATTGACAAACACTTTTATGATTTCTTGAACATTTTTTTCAAAATTCAAAATTGTTTTGAAATTCGGAACTTTTTGTGAAATCCTGAAGTACTTTAAAGATGAAAAGAGGAAAAAACACAGGGGGTGTCCCGCCCCACGCTTGGGCCGGCCCAAAAGGG